TGGATCGAACCTAATGGGTAGGTAGTTTGTTGGTGTCTCATGTCCCATGTCCCTGTGTTCCTTGTCCCTATGTCCTCATACCCATGTCCTGTGTTCTATGTTTCGTGTTTCTTAAGCTGATCTTGGGCAGTATAAGTTGCTTGGTATAAACCCACTGTAGTACGCTTGCCGTAATTGTCATGTAAAAGTTCTTCATCGGGGTCGAGTCACCGTCGCCGACTAGTGTTCATAGACATCTCTCCTTTAGGAGAAGTACTCGAAAATCTAGGTTGGGTAGAGTCGATAGGGAGATCACCACCCTCAAAGCTCTACTGATAGCCGTTCGAAGAAGACGAATATGATTAGTCCTTGGGTACATACGTTCACAATAGCACAACTACAATGGAGGTAATTTGCGACTTACAGCAGTCACAATTATGGAATAAAAAAGCCTCGAAGTAGATCAATGGCGGACTAAGCTACTGTACATTTAAGTCCTTGATCTTCTTCTAGTTTTAGTTATATATATTAATGTATACTTTTTTATTGTGGGGTATTTTGTTAAATTATGCTAATTATTCCTAATACAGTACATCTTCTGTTGTGTAATAATTTACGTGCTGGGGTATTTTTTTATTTTTGAAAAGTTGGGATATTTTTTTATATATGGCAAAAGTTGGGGCATTTTTCTTATACTCCCTTATTTTATGTGCGGCTTAATTGCTTAATTTAAATGTATAAATTTCCTCAGATTAATATAGTAAAATCTAAATATATGTTTATCTACTGGCTATCGTACCGTATTATTGTTTGGGTGTGGTCACACCATGCCCATCTGGTGTAGCACACATCCCTGTTGGTCCTCGGTGCATAGTGCACGGCATCCCTTCACAGCCTACCTGGATGTAATGGGTTTCCCAGGTTGAGTGTATAACATTTACTGTACGTTGTAAAGTTTTGTTTCTTTAGAACTGGAGGCACTTATCAGGTTAGATAGGTTAAAAGCCAATTCGCTATGATAATAAACGCTCTTCACCTCATTTTCTCTTTACGTAAGCCAACGGCCCGCTGGAAGCGAGCAACACGCGATAGGTGTGTCAGTTGAAATAATTCTTTCTTAGCAAGTGTGTGTACACGGACAAGCAATTTCCGTTACAATAAGCAAGCTTAACGGTGATTGCTCTGCGCTAACAAGGAATACAAGAATGAATTCTACCTCTTGCATCCATTACATTCATTGGTTGAGCGCTTTCTCAGAATAACAATAAAATTTATTTGACACCCAAACATTATGCTGAAATCAATGTACCACAGCGCGATGGAACAGCGAGTGACACAGATTCGAACGTTACATTTACTACCCCCTTGCAAAACGGGCGGCGCATCGCTGGTCAGCACTAGGTTTTTATTGTGGAGATTACATGTACATTACCGACCGTTTCTTAAATTGCTGCATACGATAGTTAATTTTTAATGCAAATTTGTCAAATCTTTTTGTTTTAAATTGTTGATGAATTTGTGAAAAATTTGTTACATCCCCCTCTATATCTTTTAAGCCATGATTTTCATCCCCTTGCACTGCTGCATCCTGCCCTTAGTTTGGGGGCTTACCCTACTAACGACCGCCGGAACTATCACAGCGGAAAATTCTGCATTCAATGCGGTAGCTGTTGTGCCTTATCAGCACATGAAAACGCACACGCCATCAAAACCGGATGGTGATCGCGAATTGTTCGAGGAGCGAGTTTTTCCTACTTCGACTATGACCGAATTGGTTGGACATGAGCTTCAGCCATTTGCAGATACATTTGTTTCCAAAAACGTGATTGATCAGCTGCATAAGTTGAAGTATGCCTCAGAGAATATGCAGCAATTAGACCATGTGAATGACAACGATGCGATTTATGGTATTTTAAGTGAAATTAAAGACAAAACGAGGCTGTTGCGTTATGCTAAATTGCTAGTTTGGCTCGGAACGAAGTCACCAATGGATCAGAAAGCCGCGATCTCGACTCTATTAAACATTTTGACGACACCTGTGCACACCGAAATTCTACCAAAAATCTTTACAAATGGAAAGAAGAAAAAAGGCCTTTTTTATGTTTTGGCTATAGCTGTGGAGAGGAAATGGTGGTTGAGTATTTCGACGAGTGAGATGTACGAAGCTCTGGGATTCTCTTCCGGCATCAAGGATGATGAAGATTTTGTTAAACAATTGGGTCCTCTAATTTGGGAAAAATTTGACCATTTCGGAGAAGAAGATTTTGTAAAGCTGATGTTGACCAAAATGCGAGAACGATCAAAGGATGAAATTATGTGGGCTCACTTATTTACAAGCTGCAGAGTGACGGAAATACTTTTAAGCCTTTTGACGCTTTGTTTAATGATCTAATCCGAACTGCAGGTGCTTACGCACCCATCGACGCTGTCAAATTTCTAACGAGACCAGATTTTTGGAGTGAATATAATCGAGCGGCAACAGCCGACAAGAGTGTCGCCATGTTGATAGAAGACGATTTACTTAAGCTATCACAGGATGAACTTATGTGGGCAAAATTGATGTACATGCTTCGAGACGACGATATTGCAATTAATTTTTTTCCTGGTGTTTTCGACAGACTTCTGCAAAAGCAAATAGCTGTTACTAATGAACCGCAGCATCTGCCCAGCCAGGTTGTCAGGTACCTGACAAGCCAACAATTTCGCTCAGATTACGACCCTTTAGTTTCAATGAGCAGTTTCAAGGAAATGCTCTCTACACTCTCTACGGATAAAGCCATGTTGGCCAAAGTTTTGTACGTGTTACGGAATGACAAAAGCCTTTCGGAATTCCCTGATATATTGGAAACTTTCACTGATGACTGGAATAATATCGGCGCACATACCAAACAGATTTCTTTAAGGGAATGCGAAGAATTCCTCAAGAGCGAAAATTTCTTTGCCTTTTCCTTGTACAAGCGGTTCATAAGCAACAATCCCGATGCATCTTCGCCAGAATTCATGCGAACGCGATCAACAGATGAAGTGGCCTGGGCTCTCGCTCTATATAACCTGCTAGGTGACCCTAAATATTCGGATATTTTCGTCGGTGTGCTCGACGCTCTTTTCCACTCGTGGGTTGCAAAACCATACAATTCGGTTGCAGCTACAGGAAAGAATCGATTTCTTATCGGCGCTTATAAATTATTACGAGAGAGTAAATCCGATATTGATTCTCGCCAACCAGAACTTTCAGAAGCCAAAATTATACTGGACACACTGCTTGAGCATTCGAAAGATGAATTGATGTGGGCCCGTTTTCTGTACAAGCTAAAACAAGACACAACTGTAAACGTTGTAGTTTCCAAGGTGTTTGACATTCTTCTACAGACAAGAATGTCAGTACACACACCCAGTCAATGTATCGCCTTCCTGACAAGTCCGTCCTTCCCATCGATGGTCGATTTGGATTTATTGAACATATGGTCTGAAGATGAAGTCATGTGGTCCAAGCTATTGTACATGTTGGGCTGCAGCGAAAATGAGCAGCCCAATTCGCTGCACAACTTGTTGTTAAAAAACTGCAACACGGGTGGGGGATGGAAGGGCGAAACAGTTTGTTAAACGTTACAAAATTTTTGAAAAGCGCAAAATTTGGCAAAATGATAGATTACGCGAAATTTTCGAGCGACAACCCCAGTGTATATCTGCTGGAATATCTACAAAAGCAAATAAAAGATGATACGAAGTTGGTTAGCCAGCTACATCAATTGAAGAAATCGGATGAAGTTCTAGATGGTGTGTTACGCACTCTTTTCCTATCATGGATTGGAAAGCCGTCTAACGCAGGTGTAGATTCAAAGGAATTTGCGGAACTTAAAAAAGGGTATGAGTTATTGATGAGCGGACGGCTTTGGTCTGATTGGCATACAAATGACGAAGACAAAGTCTGTTCAATCGTACTCACAGAATTATTTAAAATTTCGAACGATCAAGTCATGTGGTATAGATTTTTGCGCAATTTACGGCAAGACTTCAAGTATGGCACTAATCTGAATAAAGTGTTACTATTTCTTATTAAAACATGGCAACACGAAGAATCAAACGCTTTGATGTGGCATCCACCCAGCTAGACATCCATCGAGTCTGGCAGAGCGTTTTCTCCTGTCAAGCAACGGCACCAACGGCTTGCGATTCGTGGCAGTAACAGATGAAGCGGTCAAAGTTTAAATTGTGCAATCACACAACGTCAGTATAAGTTTTAAACAAGTTTAAATTCTCTTATTTTGTAATGCAAAAATCGTAGAATCTTCTGAGCTTGACAATCTTTGCTGCATACAGAAACGATATGATCATTCGAGGCTTTTGTTATTCTTAGACATCCAAGTCCAAGCAGAAGTAAAAGTTAAAATGTAAACTAACGCCAACATTTTTACTGATAAAATATTCTTCAGCTTTACGTACGCTACACCAATTACCTCGTCTCGCTTCATGCTATTTATCGTTTTTAGAGCTGATACTTCGTCGCATCCTACTTTTGATTATGTCGGCGTATTCATATAGAAAGAGTCAGCTACTCGACTACGCAGGAAATTTCCCGCCAAGTTTTGTGGTGTCCATAAGCCGGTAGTAGCTGTGCTACGTTTTTCAGCCATCAATTGCTGAATAAACAGCTTTAGCACCGATTAATGGTCACACTACGTTAAAGGACTCGCTGAGGACGACCACACGCAGACTGTAAGTGCAGCCAGTGAATTCAGCGTTAATGCATCAATCTTGGACTGAAAAGTGTGGCTTTGTATGATTTAATGTAGGTGGTAGTGGAGGTGACAACAAAAACTGGTGATTCGCTCGAGTATAGAAGCATTTCAGCACCCGCTAATGTGACCAGCAGGTGAACTTAAAGCTGGCTACTCGAGTGTGTTACTCGAGTGTTTGTGTGCTAGTGATTAGCTGCATTATATACTGGATGACGAAAATGAATCGAAAGAATGGACTGGCGAGCTTCCAACTTCAAGTCTAAACACTTGCCGATCTTTAGCCCCTTTCCAGCTGTCGAGGCCCGCCTTGTGAAAATCGAAATTAGTCAAGTGATGACCTAGCGTTGCAAGGAACTGTGTGTACTTTGACGTGGCTACAGTCAAGTGTCTAGCACTTAAAAGCCGAATGTGGCTTTTGCAATTTTATAAAGGCAGGTCCGTGTGGTAAGGAATTTTCTGCGTGGGAAACTTGTCTAGACGATTGCAAGAAAAGCGGTGATGACTTTATCGAGAAGTGTGGACCTCAGACACTTGGACTGCGTGACTGTGTTGAAGCTAATCCAAGTATCACCATGTTTTGAATGATAGTCTTGAGCAGAGCGACGTCGAGTAGCAGAGAAGTAAGTTACAGGACCGTAATTCTTGGTGAGAGGTATTCTATACTTTCAAGTATAAAAAGTATAGAATACGGAGTTGGTCATTTTTCAGTCTGTACGAATCAGCATCGAAAACAGTGAATGTCTCGTGCGCATCATGTTGAAAATCGTTCAAGTGTACTATGTCAAACACATCCATTCCAATTAATCAAGCTTCATTCATATCCTCGATCACGTTTAAAAAGCTATTCAGAGTATAACATTAGATTAGCACTTTATCTCTTCGTCGTCATCAATACAAAAGACACCAAAACTTTACTTGAAAATAGTGGCCGCCAAGTGTATCGTCAAAGCTTCAAACCTCTTAAATTGCTCGAAGGTTCTGATCAATTTATTCGCAACAAGAAAATACTTCATTACTTAACTTTAATAAAGAGATACTCCAGTTTTGTAAAAAATACATGTGAGAGGATATTGCCCGTAATGTACTCGTAATAAACCACCTTGTAGTGCACTTTACACTATAGACATTAAAATTAGTTGCTAACCCTCATGGTGCCACAGCTTAGTAGTAAAGCGCTCGCTTCTCAAACGAGTGGTCGGTGGTTCGATTTCAACTGGTGCCTTTAGTTTCTACCCACAAGATATAATACTGCGATGCGACCGAATGTGTGAAGCGTGTACTAGTTATTCGATATTATGCAAAGTACCTAGCGTTGGAGCCTTCTCTGATATGGATTCGAGACCGGATGGATTCTACAATCCAAACTCACACCGCCTCCAGACATACAGAAGATGACTAGACACAGTCTTTTTATTAGCATGAACGTGCGCAAAACAAGCTCAAAACACAATATGTATTGACTCTATCGATAAACGTAAGCTTCAGTACAGTTCATATTAATGAAGTCGTGCATCTTCTCTTGTTGTGCAGCGGGGCTGCCGTAGTTAAGCGCTTGAGGAAGATTTTTTAGGTCACCGACCTTTCGTCCTTTACAAGAACCAAGTATGAGTTAGCGGATCGCAATCCGCTTACTCCAAAAGTGATAAGGCTAATCGACTTTTCCGTTTCAATTCCACACTGATGTTTATTTATATTTTTATCCTAATTTTTAAAGTTAAGATTTTTCTAAATATACTAAATATATGTAGTAAAACCTAAATACATGCATAACTACTGGCTACCTAGCCCCGTACCGTATTCTTGTTTGGGTGTGGTCACACCATGCACATCTCGTGTGACACGCACATGTTATTAGAGTTTGTGTGTGCGCGGAAATTGATGTCAGAGAACGGATCAGATGACGAAGAAAATCTGAAGGGTAGTGACGGCTCATCATCCCAAAGCCTGCAAGGATTGACGAGGACGTCAGTATAGCCGAAACATTTCTCGCTTACGCTACGAGTACTGGTGCAAAAGCAAACTTGCCTGCCGCATACACGCATGCAATGGCTCGTAACGAGGCAAAACAGTGGCGCGAGGCGATGGACGCCGAATTACGATTGGACTATAACAAGACAAGGACGCTCGTTCCACAGAGATCCATTTAGCGTAAGATGAGTTGGCTTTGGTTCTTCGCTAAGAAACAGAGTGGTGTCCTGCAAGTCACGATTGGTGACAAAAAGGTTTAAGCATAAGTACGGCGTGGTTTTCTTCCAGACTTATTCCCCGGTGGCCAACATGAAATCGTTCCAAGTTTTACTGACAGTTTTTGGCTACGAAATGGAACAGCTGGACGTCGACACCGCCTTTTTAACAATGTGCTGTGAGGTCGTATTTACATGGAAATTTTCGCTAGATGTCACGGGATGTCTTGGCCACGTATGGACACAAGCAAGCTGCAACTGCCTGGAAGAAGATGATTGATCAGAAGTTGTGGAGCGGATCAATGCCTCTACGCGAGAAGTGTTTCTGACGTACGTCTGTATGTCGATGAAATGATCGTTTCAGCGAAGACGAGTAAGGATTTTCTAGAGGTCAAAATATGCTAGAATGTGCTTTAAATGAGGAATTTCATCATGGTTCAGTTCATCTTGGGCATGTAAATAGACCATGAAAAGACAGCCGCAACCTTAATGACCGAACAGACACGCTACATAGACGACGGATCGAGCGACTTGGCCCGAAAAGCGCCATGGATGTCAACAATCTGTGTTCGTCCAGTCTTATACTCTCGACAACACAGTTTCCAACTTAACTAACTGGGCGTTTGGCGATGTGCTCGATATAATACCGCTCGCTAGTTGGCTGTCCGCTATATATTACAGCGTTTATCCGTCCGGACATTACTTTTGTCGCCACGCAGCTGTATCTTATTCTTATATTCTCGGGTAAAAACATGAGATCGCCGCGATTCGCGTACTATGCTTTTTTAAGTCAACTCGTCATCACGAGATCATCTACCAAGGTGATACCGGAAAAGTGGTGGTCGAAGCCTTTTCCGATGTATACTAAGGGGGTACAGACGCTCTGTATTGAATGTTTTTATCAATTTTCGGTTGTGTTTAAGTCCAGGTACCAGAAAACCGTCGCACGGAGCTGCGCAGAAGCCGAGTATATGGCTTCCGGCTTATGTACACAAGATGTTCTTTGGACGCACACAATGCCCAAGGACATGGGTCATGAGCAAGAGGCACGCAGATATGAGTTATAGTATAACTTTGGTAATCAGCGAAGGCTACCACGCTCGTACAAAGCATCTGGACATTAGGTACCACATTTTTCGGGAGAACGTTCACCATGGATTACTGAAGATCGACGAGTTCGAAACAAAGAATCAACTTGCACACATACTGACGAAGGCACTCAGAACCAAGATTCTCAAGTTTCTGCGCGAGGCAACGGGTATCAAAACCAAGTCAGCAAAAAACCACACCAAATATTCGCGTTGAGTGGGAGCGATGAGAATACTCCGCTAAATGTGTGTGTGGCGACTTGACAAATATTGCGATATTGGCCACGATTACCGTTATGATTATGCATATTGCTTACAAACATAATGGAATTCGCTTATGAGTGGCTTCTTGTTACGGTGTAGCCACACCAAGGTGTGATGACACAACCTTGTGTAATCCACACCTTTGTACGGTCACACCATCTTGTGTGACACGCCCTTTCATACAAGGGTCCGTGCAACCCTGTCACAAAAAGCCTAGCAACTACTCCTTCACTGCTGGATGTGCGAGTCCCACAATTCTCAGGCGCAGCAGAGATCTCCCAAAACGAAAGCTATCCTCTTCTCATCGAAACTCCAGACGTCCAGACTACTATCAGTTCGTGGCTGGTTTCAAGTTAGTCCTGCATGCTTGCTTGGCACTTCATTGTCTTTTACATCAACAGAGTTCATGCTTGTAAAATATGTTAATCCTAACATCGCATTATGTCCATGTGACAGAAAGACCCGAAGGGAGCGAGTTAGGCAAAGCGCTATATACTCGGGTAACTCATAATTGGCTACAATTTTACCAGTTATGAGTTAGTACTTGGCTACATCTCGGTGGAACAAACGTTTATTAGTTATACGAGGTTATGAGTTACCCGGATATATTGGTCATCCGACGATTGTATATATCATCTCACTAACATTCAAAGGTCAAAATGTCACTTGTGCATCGATCAGCTGGATAAAGTATTCCCTTCAGGCTTGAAATCTTCATTTATGGCACTGATAGAATGAATTCTCAAGCGACTTTATACTAGCGCCACAACATTTGTATAAAAATCTACCGATCGGTGTACGCAACAGTTCGCTCACAATAATGCAAATAGTTCTTGTATTTCATTAGAAAACGTGTAATGGTCAACATTCTACAATTCAAAATTTCAAAGTGTAATCACTACGTGCTGCAGATTTCGGGGTACAAAGACGATTTTGGATCCAAACAGTCTTTTGTCGTCTCTCTGCCTGCAGCGCTTGGATCAATCGATTCACTTTATACTGCGGATCCCCATCTTTTCGTCTACTTTTCTTGACCCTAGTCAAATCTCTTTCACCGTCGTCTCCCATCATGTTTCCTATTACATCAGAATTTGTATCTTCCAACCTAAACGGTCGTTGAAATGGTGCAACTTTTTGAAGTTTGAAACTAGTGCATTCAAAATCTGCATTCTCTCGTAGCTTCTGACTTTTAAGTACAGTAGATGATCGATTTGATATGTTATCACAATTTGACGTCAGAAAGCTGGAAAAAATGGCATCTTCACCTTCATTCTCCATCCCAAGACGCTTTTCCATTGAGGCTAGTAAACGGTTTAGCGGTTTATCATGATTGAATACACTTTCCAGACGTCGTCCTTCATTGACCCAGTCATCAACTTCGTCAATTGATGAGAGCCCTAGCACACGTTGTCTTGCAACCTCTGCATCTCTCAAATCACGTTTTTTCGCCTCGTCTTCTATCTGTTGTTGTAGCTTCTTGTTCTCTTGTTCCTCGTGCTCCCGTTTTTGACTTTCTTTTGACTCAGCGGCTTCTTTCGCATCAATCTCAAGTACGTGCCTGAGTCTCAGTATCGAAAGATTAAGATTTTCGATAACTTGCCGCTGAAGAATTTCTTGATAGGTGTCGTCTCTTCCTGCTGATTCGTCTCGTGCGGCAAAAGCTGTTAAATTCTTAGGATCTTCTTTCATCATCTTACTCTCGGTTTCAGACACCCACTTTGCTCTTTGCGGCAAAGCATCCCCATCTTTTACATCACCAACCGACATTTGTGCTTCAATCTCTTGAATCTTCTGGTGTGTGTAAATTCGTAAAGCCCTCATCTCAGCATTCAAAGCACCTTCATTTTGAAACGAGATATCGACGCTTTCGAGTTGCTCCAAGACTCTGTCAATATCAGCTGAGCAAGTGAGCAACTTTCCATGCATGGGCACTGACTCGAGAATCTCCATTTCTCGAGCCCTAGCTTCTTTCTCTTCCTTCTTTTTCTTCTCCTCAGCAGCCTCTTTCTCTTTTGCTTCGGCTTCTTTTGCAGCGACGGCAGCAGTCTGTTCAGCCATTAGATCGGCGTTTTGGCGCTTGACCATCTCTGCAAATGCAACATCAAGCTGTGACACGATCGTCTGAGTAGTAGATTGCATCTCCATGCTATCAGAATTATTGTCGACATTCACGTCTTCATCTTTACTTTCCATGCATTCTTCTTGAAATCGATTCTCAAACGGCTGTAAAGCTTCATGGAGCAATTCATGAATAGTATTTGACGCATTACGAACTTTCAATGCTGTGGTTACACAAACATCAGAAGTTTTGAGATAGTCTTCATCAATTTCTCTCCCTTTGTCTGGTTCTTTATTAGGTATCATCTTGCTTCGCCAGCTAGCTCGAAGCTGTCGAATTTCTGCTGCGAATGAATCCTCTGTCTCATCTCCTGACTCCTCAGGAGGTTGAGACTGTGGAGGCGATTCAAGTGCTTCTACTCTTGATCTCATCTCTGGCATTTGCAAGTATTTCAGACTGCCAAACCTGGAAGCTTGACGATTTAAACGCGTACTTTTATCCAATTTATCATTGTCTTGTGCTCTGATTTGATTGCTAGTACTGACCAAATTATTTAAGTCGCTGATCTCGTTCCTGATTAAAGAGTCGACTGAATCTGTAGAAATTGGCTTGGGGCTTTTCTCCGATTCAGACAATGTGGTCGATTTCGATAAGACTAGAGATAGTGATGGAGGAGTGAGCGAGCGTGATGGCAATACTAGCGACTTCTCCTGAAACGTTTGCCGCTGTCTTGCCGTAGCACGACGACGTCTACCCATAAGAGACGGTTTATTCCGAAGCGCGTTTTCAATTCGTGGCATTGAAGGCACAATACTGTCATCATCGCTCAAATCGTATTGCTGAGTGTTTTTCACCGTTCTTTGATTGGATTTGTATTTAACAGAATCAGCTATCCGTGCACGTGAATTATTTAATCTTTGTTTTGGTTTTGAATACTTCAAATCAGATGATGATGAGGCATCGTAATCTTGTTTTGATTCATTCGTAGCACCTTTGTGAAAATCGGAAATGAGTTCATCAAGTGACAATTCCTTTCGATCGTCATGATTATTTCCCCAGCTTTTGGAAACCTTTGACGCTCGTTTATCTTCGATCGGCGATACGAAGGACAACTCTAGAAACATGCTGACAAAATGCAACGGCCAGCACAAAGATTACTATCCGTTACAGTCCGTTGCAAAAGCTATTGTCGTACTAAGCACACAAGGAATGATCTCTAATAATCTGAATAATGCTACTATTTGTTCATCTCTTTGATCAAACCATTTCTACCATTACATACGTGTTTCTGACGATTCACAAAAAGCAACTGGAACACAAACTCAACAATTCGTTCATAAGCTTGTGAATTACAACATCGCCTATATCTGTTACTCTGATCGAACAAAGAATAGCATGTTTATTCTTACCAACTACTTTTTGGCCGCCGGCGCGGGACGTGGTGGTTTTGGTGACACCACGATCTTGTCTTTGATCATTCCCCATGGTGCCATGGTCACTAGTTCTTCAGAAGCCGTTGGGTGAATAGCCACAATATTGTCAAAGTCAGCCTTGGTCGCGTTCATCTTGACCGCAACCCCAAAGCCCTGAATCATTTCGTCTGCGCCCTCACCAGCTACATGCACGCCCACTACCGTTTCTTCTTCACCAACAGTCACAAGCTTCATTGCTGTCTTGCCCTTCCGTTCCGGATCGGCCATGGCATGCAGCAAATTTACAAACTTGCTTGTATAAATTTTGATATTTTCTTTGCCAAACCTCGCAATAGCCTCAGGTTCCGTGTATCCAATGGTGCCAATTGGAGGGTGACTGAAAATGACAGTTGGAATTTGGTGATAGTTTAAACACGCGTCTTTTTCACCACCAAAAAGACGGTCGGCCAAACGACGACCAGCGGCAATAGCCACAGGTGTTAACTCCCAACCAGTGACGGTGACGTCACCAATGGCGTACACTCCGGGCACAGTCGTGTTTTCTTGAGCATCTACTTCGATATAGCCGCCGTCCGCAAGCTTGACACCAATTTCTTCGAGACCAAGATCTTTGGTACGTGGTACCCGGCCAACAGCGAACAAGATCGTATCAAAATTTGTAAATTCTTGTTCTTCTCCATTCATAGTTACCACAAACGTTAACTTGTCATCATTCGATTTTTCAATACGAGTTGCAGACATGTTCCGTACAAATTCAACTCCTGCTTTCTCCATCTCTTCATTGACAAGGTCACGCACAATTGGGTCAAACTTTCGTAATACTTGGTCATGTCGACAAAAGAGCGTTGTGTCACTCTTTAGCATGTTGAAGATGCCTGCCAACTCGACAGCAATGTAGCCAGCGCCGACAACAGCCACTTTCTTGGGTTGTTGCTCCAGTTTAAAAAATCCATCACTATCAATAACATGCTCTTTACCGGGTATATCTGGGATATTTGGGACACCACCTGGAGCCACAAGTACGTGTTTGCCAGTGTATATATGGCCAGCCACTTGAATCTTGTCTTTCGCGACAATTTTCGCGATTCCTTGAATTACATCTACTTGAGCATTGCTAAGATTTCGTTCGTAAATCCCATTTAATCGTTGAATATACGCGTCGCGTTTGGTCTTCATGTTGGCCCAATCAAAGTCACCAAACTCAAAGTCTTTGGCACAAGTGTTGATACTATAGTCTTTGTTACGATTTAAATGTTCCACGTGTACAGCTGTATTGAACATAACTTTCTTGGGTACGCAGCCAAAGTTCACACACGTGCCACCAAGACCCATACCGTCAAATTCTCGGCCACGTTCAACAACGAGAACCTTTGCACCACATGTGGCTGCACGACGAGCGGAGGCCATGCCACCGCTACCACCTCCGATAACCATAAAGTCGTATACCATGTCAGTACTCATGTCTACAGGAAGGGGGGCGAAAGATTGTGGCTTATGAAATTTACGAATATACCAATAACAAAAGAAAAGAAACAGTGTTGGTGTTTGTACATCAATTTGGTGGTGAGAATATATATTTTGATAATATAATCGAGAGGCATACTTTTCGCCAGATAAATATCTTAAGTTAATTTGAACAATACTCAAGAGCCATTACTTTCAGGGATCAATCTCTTGAGATTTATAGAGAACTTTTTTTGCGGGCCATCTACTCATATCTTAGGTACTGGAGTAATTTTCTAGATATTTTTTTCTAGCACAGCAAAATTACAATACGATCAACGAAAAAAACTGTTTTGAATATCCACGATTTTCGTTTTGAACCTGTACAACATGCTTGAGTCTATTACATCTGTTCTTTAAGAAAACATGCTTGAGCTAGGTCAGGTTCCTGTAAGCATAATTTTTGCGGTAATATACAAAATTTGAAATTTTAGTGAGTCGCGCTGAATGAATAATTCTTACGAAAAAATTCTATTTCGTCGCAATCCAGAATGGTGTATACCACACAACAGTAGGACGTCGAAGGGTCACCCAACTATGACTTCTTGGGTATGCTGATTGGTTCAGGTCATTCTTAACTGGATTGTCGCGCATTCAGGACGATTTTCGGGTTCTTCGAACAATCATATACTGAATTACACAATATTCAAATTCTGAATACATTATTTCTCTACCAGCAAATTTAGATGCTGCAACATCTTGCGCTAGCGTGAAAAGATAATCGAGGTTTACGATGGTATTGTGCATGCTTCTCGGTGTGCCTTCGTTGGTATGCTCGTTAATTCTTTGATTTGGACGACGGATCCTAGTTTCTGTCCTGTCGTCCTATGAAGACGTCTTTCAGCGGCTGAAGAAAATGAGCGTTTTCAGGCCGCTTTTTATGTCCCAAAATGTTTGTGCCGTCGCGAAAGACTTAAAGATATACTTTGAGCAATCGGACGACGTCGTTTTTGAGATTGGTTCTCACAGTGATTAGGCGCATGATCATTTCGTTGGCAATGTTTAAATATTTCGCCTAGTGGGGTTATATCAATGGCAGCTACCAACACCCCTGAGGCAATGCGTAACTCACAAATCGTAGAACCTAACAATGACTATTTTAAGCTCTTTGAGGTCTATGATACGCCCGGAGCTTGTGTGACTGTGGATTCGGCTTTTTCTCGACTAGACTCCCATTCCCCTTTTAAGTCCTCTCATGCTTTGCCACTCACATCAGGTGCCAAGGAAGCTCTTAGGGCTCAGTAGGCTACATTAGCACGACAAGCTGCGGAGTGGAGAATGCGACCTTTCCAAGTTTTTTTAGAATCAAAGACCGTCTCATATACGAATAGAACGGTGAAAAACACATCTGCAAATGAAAGTACTGATTTTCAAATTCCGCACCAGTTTTTTTTAGCTTAAATCAAATTTTAATAATGTATATGCCGCGCTTGAGCATCGAAGCATATCGATTTTTAAGAAATGATTTCCAATAAATAACTTAGGTTGTAGTCTTTATTTTTTGCGCCAAAGGCCATTGCTATCATCATCATTATCATCCTCATCTACTTTAGCATATTCTTTGCTTCACGAAGAAATCTATCTTCTTTGCACTTTTCTTTATGTCACTTTCTTCCTTCTCGTCTAATTTCGTTATCGCTACGTTCCTCCTCACGCTTGATTCCCTTGACTTCTCGTTTTTGGAGTTCCATTGCGCGCTCATCTCGTTGCAGCAAAATTTGCATCTTCATCATTGATAAAAGTGGATTTAAGTTGGTATCCGCTTTCTCACGTTTACGAATAAGTGGTGTAGCTTCATTGCCGATCCAGTTCCTTTTAGTTCGAATGTGAAGGACCCCTGCACTTGAGCCTTGCCCAAACCAGTCGCAGTTTCAGCAAATGATTTCCCTTCAAGATCAGGAAAATTCATGGTCGTCCGAGCGCGACCCTCTTCGCTATCATCGCTTGCTTCCTCGAAGAGACTGTCTTCTGGTCTTCACATCCACTTATCATATACCGAATTTGTTTTGCTTGGTTTACATTTGGAGGGATCAGAGAATTTCTCGTAGGCATCCTGGTTAATGAAACCTTCTGAAATTCCGCTTTAAGCTTACCACAGTTTGACCAAGACAAGGATATCTTGATTCGTGCTCACGAAGGACAGCGTCCCATCCCGTGTCACACCGAGGGAGACTATCATTGAGCAAATTAAGACGCGAGTCCACCTCATGCTGTGTGAAACCGCCTAATTTGTTTACCACTTTTCCGCGAGGCTTCACTGCTCCTCACGATGGACCCGTTACACGGTAGTGCCACTGAGCAGAACTGTCGCAGCATGACAAAGACGGCTACCGTCAAGACTTAGCTTTTCGACTCGCGATATGCAGTCGCCCTTCAACTCACCTAGTTGGCACGGGAAACTGCGTCACCCTATCACTCCCAATCTATACTATTCCTGGCATGGAAAACACCAGCTAATGGCAGTGGTTGACCTTTCCGCCTATCATACTACGACATACGATTGCTCTATCTTTGCCAACAGGGACACACTCGGGAATACCGCTTTATTCCACCCCATCTTGAGACCTCAACTCACTGTCCCTGGTGTTTTCCGAAATCTTTTTAAGGCACTTAGCAGTGTTTTATTTAATACGTCGGACAGGCCCAAGTTCTGTACTAAAGATATAGTAGCGCTGAGCCCGCGCTAAACGAGATTCTGCCCCTGAGAGGTGTAAACGCATGACTCGCCAACGCCATGCCAGGGGAAAGTACGCACTTACATTAATTAAGTACGGTTCAGGGAGTTCAACTCACACAATACCTTAAATTTATATCGCATATCCTGAAAAACGTTCTACGCTACCAAAGTGCTCAACTTCAAAGGTATAAAGTGACCTCCGACACTTCAACCAGTGGCCCTAAGACGCATGGAAATCGTAGCCGTACTTGGCAACCTCTGTACCTCCGCGTACTGTCTATTGATTTCAACAGTCACGCTTTGTACGAAATTGCACGGCGCTTTAGAATCTATCAGGTTTCTTTACGGCTTAGAGAAGACCGAGACGTCAACATCCTTGGGCTGAGAGCATCACCCCTTCTTGGAAGGAGCTGATCTTTTAAGGGCTCGAATCCAATCGCTACGACATCCGTGTGATCAAAAGAATCCACTCCTTTGCCAGCAGGCGCAGGGCAACATTTTCCACAACTAGTTCGCTCGACGAGGCTCGATTCTTTGCCCCTCTTAACCAAGAGAGAGGGTGGATCGCAAGGCGAAGATACTTCGTACTGTTGCAGGTGAGCCATTCGCGAGTACCGCGGAGCTATTCATCAGCTAGAAAATATCACTTCTTCCTCAGAATGGCTGAGGTCCATAATCTCTTGCAAGCTAGTGTATTCGCCCTCCGTGGTACAAGAATTTTTCTCCGCATTCAGTGCAACCCATCGTTTAGTCGAAGAGGTAGTGAACGCGGAATGTCGTACTGAGAGCTGCACATATACAGAGATCCTTCATGATGATAGGGACTAATACTTCAAAGAAAGATTGAGACAAAAAATGTCATCGTGAAGATGAGCAAGATTTTTACGCACACGATACGCAAGGTTGGGCGGTGCGAGCACCCGCGATATACATCGCTACAAATTGTTTCATGTTGGGAACGCCTTTTATGCAAAGGTTCTGCGCATTAGTGTCCATCTGAGCGTGACCTCTTTGCTTGAGACTCACAGCGCCACGCGCTGTTGCTCCGTCTAAACATAGCTGTCTTCACAATCGTCTAGTTTCTTCTCATCTCAAAGGAAATGTTTTCTTCGAACCTGCCTTTTAAAAGCCGACGATCAGATTTAGCGGTCTCGCGGAATGTACCATCATTAATTTCACAGGCGCCAGGTGTGGTCGATCCTGAAGTATCTCATTTTTGCATTCTCATATCTCCAAGCGAGAGATTACCACACCCTGGACCTTTGGTCGCCTGTTCCTGACTCCGTCGAGACCGACGGTAGAATAAGCCTCCTTACATCTCACATTATATCCCAACAAACGATGCAGTCTTTTCACGTCTCAATTAACTAGAGGAGCTTACAAGATAACTAGGTACTTCAAGGCCCTGGATCTGCTCCTGCCTGCTTGGGTGGAGCGTACGGACCCAGCCTCTGTATGTTTGTTAAGACAAAATTCTCAGGTAAAATCTTTCTATGTGCAAAACGCGTGGCTACCCCGCTGCGCTTGTCGACGATCCGACCAGAGTAAAACGTTATTTCTCACGATAATCCTGAGAAATTACGTTTTACCACATGATATTTGTCTGAAGAAGCTCATGTGTACCACTGATCTCGTTTACAGAGTGCAGACATCGGTATACGTTGGTACTTTTGATTATTGCATCATTTCTCACCTGTTAGCTGTTATACATAGAATCTTATATTTCTGTCGAAAAAGTATTTTGTAATCTTGCATAGATCAGATATGAAGAATTTTAAAGCTTTGGGTAAAATTTATTACAGGTACTTTGTAATTTCGTCGAATTTTTCCGAAAAAATTCAAGACACTCAATGATTTAGTGTTTATCGCTACCCTCGACAATGAACGATGTGACGCTTTTTAAGCTCGTCTCCATTGTGTGCATTTGGATCGTAGGACTTGTGGGTGGTCTTGTCCCTGCATGTCTAGCCTCGCGTCATGAGAAATCACCAGCAATGGGTTATCTGAATGCCTTTTCTGGGGGGGTGTTCCTGGCTGGCGGCTTTTTCCATCTATTGCATTCTGCTATCGAGAATCCAGCGCTGTGCAAATGGTCTACGGAGGAAGAAGGTCGTTACGAGTTTCCGTATGCGGAAATGTTTTGCACTTTGGGATTCCTTGGTCTTTTACTGCTAGAGCAAGCGGCACAAGCTACAATGGATGCTAACGACAAAGTCATTGAGTACATGCCTACTCAATGTGAAAACGATGACGAGATACGTGGAGCCACAGAGAGTGACGACACATATGTAGAAGATTTGGATGAAGAGAAGCAGACTCTCAGGTCAGGTAGTTCTGAATTTTTAAGTTTTAGTGCCCCGAAGAAAGCAGAAAAAGGCTCAAAGGCTGTTGCGCTGGTACTCTTCATAGCTCTATCCTTTCACTCAGTATTGGAAGGACTAGGCATTGGTGCTCAAAAAGAGACAGCATGGGGAGTCTTTCTTGCCATTATCATGCACAAGGGACTAGCAGCTTTTGCCCTGGGGTCAGGACTCATACAGAGTGCCATGCCTGTGATACACGTTACGATATATATGGTTGTCTTTTCTTTCATGAGTATTATTGGCATTATCGTGGGTTGGATCATTGCTGCAGACTCATCTGAAGACTCGGCCGCAGCTGGTATTTGTGTAGCTCTTGCATCAGGGACATTCATATATGTTGCTGTTATGGAAGTGATTCCGCATGAGTTTCCACAACATAGTCATGGAAGGAGTGAAGATCACACTTATGAACACCACAAGTCCAAAGAAACGCTAAGGAAGTCAGTTGCACTTGTAGCTGGCTATGCCATCTTTGGTTTACTCGCTAAATGGTCGTAGTGAATATATAATACAGTTTATTACATAAAGATCTGCTAACAAACGGAAACAGATTGCAAACGGACACATTAAGATTCACATACAATCTTCTTCTGAATGCTTGCGCTACACAATAGTTTCGATTTGTTCGTTTGATCTTCAGTTCCACTTGTTCTGCCCTCTCGATGCTCCTTTCTGTGTCTTTTTGACTCTTCCATATCGCATCGCTGTTTGTACACGGTATTTTGTACACATTACGCAACCAAACTCACCGACGGACTTGACACGATCGACTCGAGTCACAAAATCACTTTTTGGGGCTTATGCGTCAATGCGCAGATTCTGCACGGCCTCGTCTAGTGACGCGTCGACGCCGTCATTGCCTTCTGCGACACTGCTAGGAGACTCAGCGCCATCATCTTCATCGTCAAAACCATCGTCCAAACCAGAATGGTACTCTATATTCGCTAGATCGTCATCATGACAAAGAAGACTGCTGCTTGACATGTAATCAATTCTCTGGTGTATACGCTTGTGCTGGACTTTTAATCGCTTTGAACCAATCTGAAATCCATTCATGCTAGCAATAGCAGCGTCGGCAGCTTCCGAACTATCATAACTCACGAAACCAAAGCCTTTGCTCTCTCCAGTAATCTTGTCCATATACACTTTAGCACTTATGACAGTACCAAATGGTGCAAAGGCAGTAGCCAAGTCAGCATCCGTTAAATCGTGTGGCAAATGATAGATAAACAAATTGGCACCCGTGGGACCCTCCAATTGGCTAGTCGTACGTGCGGCTTTCACTGCTTCAACTGCTTGACCTTGCATTTCTACCAGACCACCAGACTGCATATCATAGCTACTAATTGCAGCGCCCACATTCGGCAGACCGTTAAACCCATATGGACCAGCTGGTCCCGCCGCAAACCCATACGGATTGTAATATAGAAACGAGTTTGTAGGGCTTGCTGGGCCTCCACCAGCACCTCCAACAGGCGATTCGAGACCAGCCACAGCAGGATTTAAGCCTACTTGTACCCCAAACGCTTGCATCTGCTGCATGTATTGCTGCTGAAGCTGTTGCAGTTGAGGAAACGCAAGTCCTGCTCCAGGTGGCAAAGGCCAGTATGCATTTGCTGCAGCCGCCATATTCCGTGCACGTTGAAGACGCTGACGACGACTGTCAGCAAATTTTACAACAAGCGGCGACGTACCACGGTCCATTGTGATATTTCCATTAACGTCATCAATGGCTGCAAGAGCAGAAGTACGATCCTTAAATTTAAGAAAAGCACAGCCCTTACTCAAACCCGTTGAGGGATGACGCAAGATATAAACTTCCTCAATCGTACCATAAAGCTCAAAAACCTCTCGAATAGCGCCCTCATCAGCCGTTTTTGGAATCATGCCAATAAAGAGTTTATGCTCTTGAGACGCACCAGCCTGCCCCTCAGCAGGACGCACTTGTAATGGATTGATACTATGCGGCAGCGTGACCTTATTGTGAAGTTCTATCACAGCCTTTTCAGCCGCGTCACGGGTAAAGTACGAAGCAAAAGCGCAGCCCCGATGAGCGCCTGTGATCTTGTCGCGAATGATCATTAAATCTTCTAATTGGCCGTAAACCTCAAGCACAGGACGCAAATCATCTTCTTCCATGTTACGCGGCACTTGGCCAACAAAAAGCTTCACAGGTCCGCTTGGCTGCTGCTCGACGTACGTTTCGACATAGCCTTCGACATTGTCAGCGCCATCGACCTCAACATCGTACTGCGAGACGTCCATTACGAGAAAATGAGAATACGAATAAGGGGACGACGAAGACGTGGACGTGGACACAAGGCACGGACACACACAAATGAGAGGGAGATGATGAAGCCGAAAGTTACGCGAGAATACAGAAACTACCGTCTCGTTGGTCAGGGCTAATTATATACAGTATTACATAAATTTTAGGCAGGATCGATTGGGCAAAATAATGCAATCAGAGTCTTATCATATACTGAGGACGTTGTTGGTCCATTTTAAAACAACACATATATACCGCATTATACGTGCAAGTAGTTGGCCATGCCAGATCACATCCATATGCTTTAAGAGCATTTTTGGATCTACAATTGCCTTTATCTCTGCAAGTTCTACCCGCAAGCAACTTCCCAATGAAGTACCCAGATAAAACCTTGTCAGTGCACGCACTTGTCCATGTTGGTAAACCACTTGTAAGCGCATACATCGCAAGCGTTTATTACGAATGTCCACATCCGACTTTCCGTGCACAGCATATATATATATTGTCGAAATACATTCATGCACCGGCACACTATGGTATGAACAGCTGCGCCATCATACGATAGACCATCGCTGGTGCATCGGGCACTTCCTGTGTATAGCGGACCCTAGAAACCCACTTGAGATACTTACCCAAGCGGGATATATCGTTGCCTCTTACAAAAGTCAATCGAATTCGTCAACTAGGTCAAAGCATGCAGCTGATCATACTGTTCTGCAGCACATCCTGAGCAGCAGGCTGGTGTAGCTCGTTGCTTAGAGGAAGCTAAGCTAAGGTCACCGACGTTACGTTCTTTCAAAGAATCAGTACAAGTGCAGCGCATCGCAATCCGCTACCTCTAAAAATTAAGCCTTACCAAGGCAAACGAACATCTCTGTTCAAAAACGAAAATGCATTTAATTTGTTTTAGTTGCAGCAGAGCTGCCAATATCTAAAACCTAGGTTTTCCTGATAGTAATGTCAAATTAATATAGCAAACCTGATTAACATTGTAATATGCATTACTACTGGCAACTTGCGCTTCTTGCTACGGTGTTTGCAGCGGGGCTGCCGTAGCTTAGCGCAGAGGAAGCGTAATTTAGGTCACCGACCTTTCGTTCTATACTTAGAACAAGTACGAAATAGCGGATCGCAATTCGCTTACTACAGGCGTATATTACCCTAGGCTAATTACCTCTTCCATTTAAAATTCAAAATTGATTTTTATTTATTTTTATATCCTTATATTAATTCCTAAATATACCAAATACGTATAGTAAAATCTAAATACATGCATAACTACTGGCCACCTAGCCACATACCGTATTCTTGTTTGGGTGCAGTCACACCATGCACATTTCGAGCGACACACACCCCTGTTACCAGGGTACGTGTAACCCCGTTACACCCTCCCCCATTAAGATTGAGAGTTTTTACAGTTTCAATCGATTATTGCCTCAGCGAGGCTCGCGTGTCCGCTTAACACTGCAACTTAATTCGTTGGAATTAAACAACTTCCTTGCTCAATGAGCCCTGTGTCCACGACACGGAAGTCTCCAAGTCTCGCTGGTTCTGACAGCGAGCACGGGCAGAGCCCAGCTTCGTCTCCCGCACGCGGTGGACAGTGCGTCCGCGGCACCGAGGGATGTACACCCTAGGCTCGATTAGCACGAGCGTCGCGCTTTGCGCACGCTATCAGTGACGAGTGACCTCGTTGGGGATGTGGAGGTGGTCGACTACGAGTCTGACCCCTTTTCCCGCATGGGATGACGAGGAAGGCGAGCTGCGCCAGCGTCGTGATTCGAGCCCTGCTCGTGCTTTGTGGACCCCATGTCCGTTTCCCGACTTCTCGTCAACCGAGGAACGTGGTGTAATCACCAACGACCTCGTCAAGGCACAGATGTGGCAGCTTGAAGCTGCCCATAGGGCGGCTCTAAAGCGTGCCAATCCACGGCCGGTCATTCACCCTCGTGTGGAATATGGTTTCCGCCCAGCGGGTCCCACTGTGAAAGCGAATGACGCGGTAACTCGATCGTTACGCGTCCACATCATCGGGCCCCCGGTCAGAACGGAAGATAAACTTGCCAAACAGAAGGCTCTTCGAGCTCGTTTCTTGGTTCCACAAGAATTTCTGTTGGAAGCTTATCGCACTTATCTACGTGCTCAACGAGGTGGCTCTCGTGTACCCGCAATACGGACAATACCTGTAGTGCTCGCCTCTGGCGAGAGCACTTCAGATGACGAAGCGCTCTTTGTGTGATGGGTGCAACGGCACCGAAAGCATTCCTCACTGTATAACATACTGTTGAGCCCCAAGGAAGTGGACGTGCGTGTAGAGCGACACCTCCGATTTGAGTTTGGCAAACTCAAGACACGCCGTCGACTTCCTTCCGATTGTCGCCCTGCGACGTATGGGCTAACCCCTAATGCTCCCGCGAGA